GGGGCTGAATTAACCTGGGAAGAGCCTGAGGAAAGGGCAGCCCCCAGGGACAGGGGGGAGGGGCCGGAGCCTGGGGAGGGGGAACGCAGGGGGTGTCGCCTGAGCTCGAGGGGGTGCTCTGGGGAGAGAAAAGGTGGGGAGGGGGAAGCGAGCAGGAAGGAGAAGGGGGGAAGAAAACCAAGGGCAACAGAGGACGGTAACTTCCTCCCACCTGAGTATTTACTGTCCCTGGAAGTTTCGTCCCTCTGCATATAAATACTATTTAAAATCTTAGCATTCGTATTCCACTTCAATGCAAGTATTCAATATATTAATAAGTTCACTAAGATTCACATTAGAAATATACAGTCATCTGGATAAATGATCAATAAATTAATAAAAATAGAATGTTATTACATCACATTTTTATTACATATATTTCAAGCTTCACCTTTTAAATGTAGAAGCATTCGACAGTATGCTGCAATTTTAAAGAACTGACTCGCCGAGCACCAGTAAAGAGATGGTCAAAGGCTAACTGGACCTCCCCAGTCGGGGCAACGCTCAATCTCCTTTAGCAGCAAATCAAACTGATGAACATGCCGGGTCCTGGGGCAGGAGGCCGGGCTCTAGTTCTTTCTCCTCTGGTTATCGCCCTTGGCTAAGGGAGCCTGCTTCGCGGGGCTCCTTCCTTCCTTCCTGTCATCTTTGTCTCTGGATGTCATTTTGCTGGACATATCCTTTGTATTTGCTGATTTTTTCCTACTTTCCTTGGTTTTGGACCCTGCCGGGGGCCCCGCTTTCTCCCGGTCTCGGTCTCGGTCTCGGTCCCGGTCTCGGTCCCTCCTCCTGGCGGGCTCCTTCGCAGCTGTCCCCTCGGCAGTGGCCTTCCCCCTGGGGCCAGCCGCCTCCTCCTTCTTCCCCCGCCTCCTCTCGCTGCTCTTACTGTCCTTGCTGGGCCCCGGCTTCTCCTTTTCCTTCTTGCGCTCTTCTTTAGTCAGTTCTTTAACATTCACGTTATCCAACCAAAGGAAAAAAGGTTTATTGAAAGACTCTCTTAATTCACAGGACAGAAGCTTAGTGCAAAAGTGTTGTCGTTTTTAAATCTCCCCACAAACATAAAATGATCGTTGGAAAAGTGCCTTGGCAGGGTTCAAGTTGGTTAAAAACAGATGCTAATCTCCATAAAGTATCGGCACAAAAGAAATTCTAGAAACTCGCCACGAAAATTTTCCAGCTTAAAATACGGTATGGTTTCTCTTAAAACCAGGTTAACATGCAATATTATTCAAACGAGTGCATCCATAAAGGCAGGACTTTACGGTGTTAACTCACATCTCACAACGCTAAGGGCATCATTAAAGGAACACCGACAGCAAAAGAACAAATTTTCACTGCTTGCAAATATCTGTACAAAAATTATTTTAAAAGTTTTAGCTCTAACAAAAAATTAGATTCTTAAAATATTTGTGCTTTTAATCCTTGAAAACAATATAGTAAAAAATTAAATTTCATTTACTTTTTTTTAACTAAAAAAATACAACATCCATGATTATAAAATTTTTAATTCATTATCTATTGTATCTGAAATAAACAGAATTTCTTTTCTGCTCACATTCAACATTATGAAATCAGTATTCCTTTAACTATGTTTCCTGTTCATTGACATAGAACCACTCAAGCCAACATATATATGTTGCCCATGCTCATAGGGAAGACAGCAATTCAATGGACTATACAGGTAATTCCAAATCTCATGTAAGATACTGCTTTCAATTTGCTTTACATAAAGTTTAAAAGTGCTGCTAGCCAAAGGTCTGAATTTCACCTCTTGCTGTCTCATTAGGAAATCATAAGAGAAGTAAGGTGTTTGCTGAATATTGTAGCATTTAAGCAGAAACAAAGATTTAATATAATAAAATGTGGAAGATGTCTTTACCCACCAAAATTATGTAAAACTCACACAGCACAAAACGTATTCGATTCTTCCTGAAAATGTTATTAAAATTTTGTAGAAAGGCAGAATGGCATTTGCAAGGAACCAACCATCCAAGTCTTCATTTTCCTTCAGTGCTATTCACAGAGCAACAGAGACAATAACACTTCAAGAGCAGGAAGCGTGGCCAAAGCTGTCAGGTCTTACTCTGCACACTGTTTTTAAAACATTAAGTCTTTCATGTTTAATGTGCCTCTCTAGGTCAAGAAACACAATTATACTTTATCGGCCATTTACTTTGTAATTATTTATGTAAGAATAAAACAGTGAAAATTCTGTTTTCTTCCCAGAAATTATTCAGGTGAGATACAGAGATAAAACATTAAAATTTCCTAATCCTAAAATTAAAATACAAATCACAAAAGCCTGCAACTCACATAGTTAAAGTGTCACCTGTTAAAGTTTCACCGAAAACAAATAAACACACTACAAATATGCCGAGCACTTAAACACAAAAGAATATTACAGATCTATAGAGAAAAACATGCACTTCCCCCATGCCCCTCTCTGTGAAGAACAAAAAATATTTACATGTGAACAAGAAAAACCAGAGGGATATAAAATAAGCTGTAATTATAGGCTATTAGCCTACACAGAATGGTTCACACAGGTATAATCATTTTTAAAGAATTCAAATAGTAAACATGGCAAATTCTATACCAACGTGATACAGTGCTCCAAATTATAAATCAATCACTGATGAATTTATCTTTTTCTCCAAAAGTAATTTAAAAATTCAAACTAAGTAAGGTTTTAGGTTGGAGGGTAGAATGTGTATATGTAAATTTATATATAGTATAACAATATGATAATGTTATATATGTTCTTAATTTGAAGACTAACAAAGTTTGATAATATGAAAACAAAATTACTTAATCTTACAGACGTGGGGTAGAAAAGTTTTAAATGAGGTCTTGATAAAACTACTTATGACCAAAGGTGAACCCAAAACCAAAAAGCAATAATGTTTAGCATTAGTAGCTGCATTTACATAACATATAGAAAATATCATGCATTTCCAAGCATTAAACTTGATTCACTCAAGGCTAATTTAAAAAAAAAGAAAATACCTTTAGCCTTAGTTTTTCTCTTGGCTACCCCACCAGGTCCTTCTGTTGATATTTACAAGATGAAAATAGGTTACAAACAAAATATTAAGGTAATTAAAAAATAAGTTTCTATAAAATAGTTAAAATCCATGTGTCCATTAAACAAAAGTTAAATTCACCATTTTAAAAAATACACTCCTTCCACATATACATCTGTCATTTATGTCATTTTAGAACCTTATTTTCACTATTTATAACAAAAAAAGTGCATTATAATCAGTCCGTGATTTAGTCAACTTCACAACTTGCCTTAGAAGTGGAAGAGCTGTTGGCCTTAGAAATGTCTCATGGCCACAGGAAATGGTGTTTCCTTCTGGGTGGTGCATGGATAGTCAGTGGACTTCCGCCCATTGACACAGATGATCAATTACAAGCACGGAGGGTGAAAGGACCTGAGGAAGTTACTTCCCTACCCGATCATCACTGGTTTCCCCCACAAAAGGAGAGCACATTTTAATAGAATTTTAATCTTTACTATTTGAATAATCACTGCTTTTTTCCCCCACAGTTTCAAACTGTTTAAAAATTATACAAGAAATGCACTATTATGTAGTTATATATTAACTTTTTTACTCTTTATCTAAAAACTTTGCAACAGCTTTCTATTTTCTCTCTTGCCAAATGAAGGTAATGATAATGGGTTTATTTTTAACCCTCTAATAATGTCAATACCATATACCTCTCAGAACACTCTTATTCCAACCAGGCTGTAATTAGCATCCCAGCCAACTGATGTTCCCCCTGCCACATAAATGCTTTGTTATACTCATGTAGCAGCAACCTTTGCAAGTGCATTCCAAGTCACCAATCCATTTCCTAGAACAGCGATTTCCAACCTTTTTCATTTCATGGCACATAAACTAATTACTAAAATTCTGAGAGACACCAAAAAATATATTTTGTGCTAATCTGACCAAAAAAAATTAGGTATTGCATGTTTTAAAAATTCTTGCGACACACCAGTTGAAAACTGCTCTCCTAGGCACATCATGGTGGGTGGTATAGTGATGACTGTTCATCTCTTGTGAGGCAACATGTGCAATCTCTCACTCTACAACTAAGGTGACAAGAAAACCCCCTAAGCCCTTCTACACTTATCCCTGTTGGAAACTGTAGCAGTCACTCTATGTGTTTCTCCAAAGAGTAATCACACTTCCACTCCGGTTTCCATCAAATGAGAACAGTGCATTTGAGAATGGTAATTAATTTTGGTTGGACTATCTCCATCATCATTCTGGTGTAAAAAATGTATTAGTATGTATTACCACTGACAACTACATTTTAAAAAGAAACATGAATTAACAGTTCCATGTGGCTTTCTGTATCTATCTGTCCACTTACTTGATACACATACACAACCACAACCAGATTGTGATGACAATTATTGTTCCCAAACAAACCTGATTCTTTCCTACACTCTGAGAAGAGCATGCCACCTTGTAATACTGATTGCTTTCTTGCACCATTCCCCACTAAAGTTTATTTCAGAAGAAAATATCAAACTTATTCTTGTCAAATTTAAATATATGGGTATATTATCCAATGTACAAAGTAAATTAGCATAAATCATTACAATGCACTTTTAGTGATGCCAACGTCCCATCCTGACTCCCCAGGTTCTGAAACGAAGCCCTGGATTTTTCCTGTTAAAAAGCAGAGTGGAGAAAATCCAACTACCCACTCCCTACCCTCACTATAGTCCAACGAGCTATACTGCTGAAAAGGCTAAAGTTAACTTTTTTTTTAATAATCTAAAATATCAGATCAGTGTCAGATTAGTGAAACAGGAAAACTAATAAGTACTTAAAACTTTTCTAGTTTGAGTATAAATCTTTAAAGTGGGACACATTAACAATGGTGCAGTGGATTGTGCAAAATGTCCAAGGATCCATTTAAGCTACCTTTTCTAAATGTAAAGAATATAGTCAGTACTTTTCCAATACTTTTGACATGACTAATACTGAGCCAATGATTTAAAAGCCACAATGATCATGTTCAGTCTCTGAAGGAAAGAGTAGAGACAGGAAAGAAAGCACAGCACTTGGAAAGCAGCAAGTTAACAGAGAAGCCCCTACCTGTTGAAGAAAAGAGGGAGGAGTCAAGAAAATGCAGTGCCCTAAAAATCAAAGGCACAGTGTCAGCAGTATCAGGGCGGCAGGCATGAGCAAAGCCTTGGGATGACGGTGCTACTGAATTAAGTTAATTATTAAATGTCCCATAGGGGTCTCCAGATTACAGTTTTGCAAGCAGAACAAGAGGACGTCACATCACAGTGATGAGAAAACATAAGTGGGAAGAAAGGTGAGTAAAACCCAGGGTGCTCATGAGGACCCCTCTTATCTCCTTAGAAGAAAAGGGATCGTATGTGCATTTTCCCAAGATTCTCAGGGGACACAAGAGGAGTCAGGGTTTGAAGAATTTCATCTGTGTTTGTATGCACTGACGGCTAGAGGAAACAAAGGCACGCCCATAGCAAAAAGAAACTGAGTTAATGACAAAGGGGAGAAGTGAAGAGGCCAAAGGACCCTGGAGGTGCAGACGCCAAGGGAAAAGGTTGGCCCTGGGAACCAGAACACGCCACATCTGAAAAGATGCCCAACGAGAGAGGAAGCGATGATTCAATTACAGGAGTAAATAAGTGTCATCCAGTGTAAAGAAAGGAAGCTACCGGCACCCAAGCCAGGTTTGCCTACATCGGTAAAGAAAGCAAAGTCACCTCTACAGAGAAGGGAGATGGAAGAGCGAGCGTGGGAGGTTTTGAACACTGACTCAGGAGAACCGTCAGGGAGAGAGCGCCTCGCAGACGGTCAGCTCGGGCACATCCACAACAGCTCTTCTTCCAGGACCGAGGACGGCATGCGGAGGGGGAAAACTTATAAGTCTGAGGAAGTGAAGAAGTGGCCCCAGAGAAAAGCACCAGGCATGTATGTAAGACTTTGCTTTTATATAATTCCTAATTCTAGGCAGAATTGATTTCTTATCACTTGTAACGCTGGTTGATGTGGAGTCTCCTTACAGTGTCCGAAATCAACAAGTGTGCCACATTTCTCCAGAAGAAAAATAAGGAATGATCCCATCAAACAATAAAATTCACGATAATACAATAGCTCCTCAAAAAAAATTTCCCAGTAGTATAGAGGAAATTACACCCATTAGAGACTGAAAAGGAAGCATCTTTGGTATTCTGTAATCCATTTGGATAAGTTATTTTATTGGTAGACTATATTCCAATTGAAAGTGGCCATCAAAGAAGCATTAGGATGTGGTTACAGTCAAAGAGAATGGCAAAAAATAAATAATCACCATGACGCTTACTTCCTTTTTGTCCTATATGTTTATTCTGATGGTTTCTGAGTGATTATTGTTAATGGCCCTGTTGACTATTTGGAAATTCTCATACAGAAATTTGACAAAAGCAGGTCTAATATTTTTCCCTTAGAACAGGAAGGAGCTGCCTAAAGGTAATAACATTATTTTGGCAACAGCCTCAGAGCCACATACCCCATCCACATTTTCGAAATGAAATGTTCTATATGAAATTAAAACGCTCAGTCATTAAGCAATGGTTGGACCTGGGGTCCAACCTCATGCAATAGATATGATTTTAGAACAATGGCTCCATTACAGAAACCCAAACAGCTACTGCAGGTTTTTAGAGAATTGGCACAGAATTGGTAGGCTGGGTATCACTTTATACTTAGGTCATTTCAGTCACTCCCATAGCTCCCGGTGAGACCTGTGAGTCACTCTGAGCCTCAGTTTCTCATCTTTCTCCTTCCAATACTGAAACACCGTAATTTATTTCCACATTGACTAAAGATATCAAAAAGAGGCCCAAAGTGCCCCAGGAAGGATGTCTAATTTTGGTAAAAATGCATGTCGGGACACAATGCACCAATTTCTTTTATATTTTTAAATAGATGGTTTAACTACGTTATCACACTTTTGAAAAAAGGAAGCTGTAAACCTTCCAACCTTCTATGACAAGTAGGGAAGGGAAGATTAGAACAAAACAGAACTGAAAGACTAGATTTAGAAAGGGATTACAGCCAGAGTTTGAATAAAATAAAAGGCAGATTCAAATACAAATGAAATATCAGGAAGATCACCTGCAGATCCTGTTAGCATAGGTCAGTTCATTGTATGAACTTCAAAATGTCACTTCTCTTCAAAAAATATGTCCAATAATTGTTTTACTTACATAAACTGGTTTTTAAAAAAAATAAAGACCTCAGTGTTTTATTATGCAATGGGTGACTCCCGAGGGAGGTTCTCACTCACCAGAACCCCAAAAAATATTTTAATAAACATCATACATTAGGCTCAGCTTTGAAGAAATTCAAATGAAATCTAAGACCTGGTTCCTAATTGCAAGGAGTTCACAGTTGAGTTAATATCTGTTCCTGTGTAACACGTGGTTATCTCAACAAGTAACTGAAACAGAGAACTGGCATGCTGTTCCGTCAATCAACAGTGGTAACAGTCAGAGTCCCTGAGTTTCATTAAAGTGCTCCAACTACGCACTGTGATCAAAGAAAATTCCACAGCCCCATTGCAGAAAACATCTTCCTTGGTCTATAGACCAGAATCTCATTTAGAAAGGGTCACTCAGCATCAATCCCCAAAAGGTGTAACTGCCAACTGTACAAATTAGAAATAATTGTCTATGCCTATAACTGCTTTTGATAATTCTCCAAAGTTATAAACATCAAGAGAGACAAGAAAACATTTTGTTCAGACTAGCTAACCATAAAGAAAAAAAACATGCAGAAAGTACCTCCCCATTTTTGCACCAAACTCCAGAAAACTCGGGCCCTTTTCAGTTGGATAAAGGGCAGGGCGCGTGGAAAAGTAAGAAGGGTGGCTTTGAGGAGCCACTGGATCTGAGTGCAGAGCATGCTCCGCAACGTTCCTGTGCTTGTCCAAAACTGGAAAAGCAGAGAACTGTAGCACAACTTAAAATTCTATAACTATGAATAAATACTCAGATGTATAGAATACAGTTTTGCCTTCTAAAGTTCCTCAGTTTAAGCTAGGAAATACAAGACAAAACAGAAAATTATACAATAACTCCTCAGAACATTCAGAATTATAGCATACATAATAAATAAAAGTGAGGTCATTTTGATCAGCTTCAAAATACTCTATACCAGTTTTGCAAACAACTATTTTCTCTCAACATAACAAGCATTAGGCACAGTTGAAGGAGGTCACAGAAGTCAGGGGTTCAGCAGCTACCTGGACTCTACCATCCTAGGTAGAATCATAGGGCCGATTAAAGGGGTACTAAATAAACGGCACATTATGACCTCACACCCTTATTTTTTACTTACAAAAATAAAGCATAATTAATTTCTGTACATAAAATGTGTGTTAGTATCATGACCAAAAAAAGAGTCCATTGAGAAATTAATGTTTCCAAACATTTTTAAATACACAAACTTAATTATTTACTTCTTATAAACTGATCAAACACCTAGAGTTAGTAGTAATGAAGCATTAAGAAATAAGAGTGCTTTAAAAAAACACATCTCAGACATTTGGTTAAGTGACTTTCATTAAGAGTGAGGGCTAAGAATGCTTTTGAATTTAAACCTAATGAACTCTGATATTTCACAGTCAAATTCAAAGTGGAAGACACATTAGTTATGGGCAAAAACTGCATAAACGTCCAGAAAGAACATTATTAAATCATACTCATTTGTTCCTGAATATTATCATTCCAAAATCAGGAGCTTTCAACTGTCAGAACATTAACAGAATAAAACATATTCCCTGAAGAATTAGGGAAGATAGACTAGAGTTTTAATAGCCATTTAAGCTTCAGAAGATCACTGTCAACATACAACATGAGTATTCATTTCCAAAAGTAACTGTAGAACAATGCTTTTTTTAAAAGAAAAATAAAATAAAATTAGCAAATTGACACATGTAAGTGGTGAGTGGATGTGGAAGCTGCTGTGCTCCCTGTGTTCGGACTGAGACTTTCAGGCTATCATTTTGATAAACTTCAAGAATGGTTTCTACAAAAGAAACTAAATTTGTCACACTGTCCTCTGAAAAAGTAGGTGAATAATCCACTTACTGAAAAATTTTTGATTAAATGTGGGGGGGGAAAGTATTTGAAAAGCAGAAATTATTATAGTTAAATAAAATGATTAAAAATGCAACCATTTTTGAATTTTAAGCTCTAGGAAGAACCAACGCTAAGTTTCAATCTCAGAGACTTAAAAACATGAACTCCAATCCCTAAAAGAGTAAAAGAAACCAAAGGTCTTAGATCTTCTTGCTTTTGAGCTGTAAGAGCTTTGAGGGAGGAAATGGCTGAACCCTCATTTTAAGAAATGCATGTTATATATAGCTAATATAACAGCTTTTGATATTATTCAAGCAAACTAACTTTAAATGAAGGGATTCAAAGATGTTTTTAAAGCTTTCTAATGGCAAAATATACTCCCCTAAAGAAATTACCGCTTTAATAAATTTAATTTACAAACCTAAAATTTGTATTATACCTAAGCTAAAGTTGGTAGCCAATTAATAAGGTAATACAGGAAAAAAATGGAAAAAGACTTATTTAGGATGAATAATTTTAATATGTACAACATTACTTAGGATACATATTCACATTTTCCTTCTTGTGTAATATGCCTTCTTTAAAAAATATACAAATTACCTTCTCTGAATGTATATTTGGAAATGAAATTAAAAATAAATTTTGCTTTCATACACAGAAATATTCAGACATACTACTATCTGAATACAGTAATTTAATTACCCTAAGGCCAAAACATGGGGTTATTTTCAAATTATTTGAAAAGCACCATTAATACAAAATTTTACATTGACGTTGGCATTAACCGATGCGACAAATCAGTTAACCTAGACGAATTACAATTAAAAAAAAAAATCAGGGTTTTTAAGAACCATCGTTTTACACATCAGTCATGTTAAAGATCAACAGAGAAGCAGTTATTTATGAATCATGCTAGAAATATTCTGACAATCAAGTCCACTATAATCATCTTAATGAAGAGCATGTTAGAAAGACAAGCATCGAGGGTTAATCACAAAACAATATGCCATTAAGGTTCTAAATTTAGTTTAGTGAATACATAAGTTGAAGCAAAACGATACAGAAACCAATTATACCGCCAAGAACATCATTGTCAAAGCACTTCGGAGACAACTACAAGGACGGGGGGCTGCCACTCTCCCCACTGGCGTGGGGAAGCCACGCAAGGGACTAGGCGGGAGCTGCACCGGGGAGACCACGAGGCCGCCTCGCAGGCCGGACTGCAGCTGAGCCCTGGGTGAGCAAAGGAGAGAAAGGAAAGGGGGATGCTTCGGTTTCCGCGAGCCAGTGACTCCAGGCCCTGAGACAAGGTTACTGGTTATGTAAATCCAAAATGACACAGGTCTTTCCCTGAACCCCTTCGCTCTGTGACGTACCATCAACACCTTCTGCCGTTTCGCTTTCTTCATCTTCCTCTTCTAGCATTTCAAAGGGAGTCATTATATCATAGAGAAAGGAGAGGAACCCATAAAACCAATCTGAGCTTTCCTCCGCTAAAATATTAAGGACTTCCTCAAGAGAATCAATATTTTCAGCACTGCCATCTTTGGTCAGGCCTACATAAGAATAAAGGAAGAGAGAGAGAACATAAGGAGAGCAGTTAGGTGGAAAAAGGAGCTAAGGGAGAGCCATCTCAAACAGGCCGTGCATCGCGGTCACGGGGTTACAGACAAGGCATTGCGGGAAATAGAGAAATTCATTAAGACGCACATCTGACGATCAACTCTCAATCATACGATCTAAAGGAAAGGCACAATTTGACCAATCCTCGCCATTGCCCCCGCCCCTACCCAGAGGCCTTGCTCTCATCAGAGAACCTAGAGCTGAAAAACGCAAAGTTGCAGCAGCCAACATCGACGGACTACAGTCCATCCGTGCAGAGTGGATAATACTATGATGAGGGTAAAAAGACAGATAGATACTCCGAACCTCCAGACTTCTCATTTACCAACCAGATTATTATCAAGAGTTGATTAAACAAAAATTTACATATCTCCATAAATAGTCATTGAAAACAGAAAGGTGCATTTCCTCAGACTTTTTTCCCTTTAGGACTTGAAGTTAACTTGAGAAACTCTGAAATGACTGGGTTACTCTTCACAGCCTCCATAGATGGCTATAAGTGCACTGAAATTATGTCAAACTCAGATAATTAAATTTTAACACTATAAAATATGTTAGCTCTCGAATGCTCTGGCTACTGACACACGGTCCTTTAATTTTGGCCAATAATAAGTCAGTTATTAATCATAATTCACTCTGCATACCAATATGAAATTTGACCAAGGCCTTAGCCAGTCATTTGCAGTAAGATCATTCCAAAGTTCTGTCCCCATGAGCCCAAGAAATTAGCTTCTATTGCAGAGACCCCAGACTCCTATTGTTTTTAAGTCTTAGTCCCAAAACATGCCCCCATGATGGAAAATAAACAAAGTAGTATTGTTTTTATCTTCTGCTGTTTTTGTTTGGTTGTTTTTGGGTTTTTTGCCTGTGAAGAACTGGCATTGAGTAGGAAAGGTCTCTCTACTCCAAAGTCACCAATACTGCCAAGCTCTAGATAGCAAGGCCTATTATAATTTTGAAGAGAAAGACACACACAAAAAAACAGGGTAGAGGGTTCTTGCTGTAAAAAATGTAAGTATCTTTAACTTTAGAGGTGGAATCATAACCACCTAATTTAATATTTCAGGCTTTGACAAACAGAATTTTCCATGTAGCATAACTATCGCTTATTGGCACGTAAGCGATAATAGTAAGATAACTAGTATAAATATCAAACATTACAGTGAATTTCCCCCACTTTAATCCATAGAAGAACTACATCACGCCATTCTTCATGCCTTTGGAGAAGAGGGACCCACAGATTGCAGTTAGTGTTTAAATTATTTTTGACAAACCCAGAATGTTTTTTGCACTGAACTTAACAGTTGGCAAGTGCTCCTAACAGAGGAGATCTGTATTCCCACCCAAGTCTCTGTGGGATTAACATTGTTTCTTCTTCTTACCTTAAAACACCATAGCTGTGAATTTAAAATGAATTTTTTTCTTAAAATAAACATTTTCTCTCTCCAATTTCCCAACAGAAATACTTCCAACTATCAAATATAAAATATAAAACTTGACCACCCTTCACTATGAAGGCTGAACTACATAACAAATATGCAAATGTATTTAAACAAAACTATTTTATCCAACTATGCAACTTTCCTGTATTCTTAAGACAGTAGTACTCGACCAAAGAGAAAAAGGAAAATTTCTAGGTGTACATTTCCTTAACTGCTAAGAGCTGGCCCTAACCCAAGAGCAGGGTGTGAATGCCTCTGAGTGGGCAATACCCAGTCCTTTCCTCTCTTCCGTTCACTCATGCATCCCCTCCCAGTCTACAAATGTTTACCAAGGCTTCCCTTTTGTTCTCCAGGCCTACCTGATATACCAGCTAGCTACTAGTGACAGGACAAAAGGCCAGTCATGCAATCCTTTAGTGGTATTACTCTAAGAATTTTTACTCTTACCATTTAGTCCTTGGATCAATATGCTATCAATTTTATTTGGGAAACAAGTTTTCAGATAATAAATTTCCCAACAATGTAGTTTTCAATGATCCAAACCAAAATCAAGGATACTTTATTTTAGAAAATTTGGCCACAAAAGTAGGAAGCTATGTAAACTAAAACAGGCTTAGAATATTTTCAAAGTAGTAAATGTCACAGCCAGAAACAATGAAATAATAAAATGAATTGATCTTGATTTACTCACACATATTTCTCTCTTTCTTTATATTCACAAGAAAAACCAAAACTCAAAATGTGAAAGAAATGTAAACATGAATGTAGACATTTCCTCAAATTGACAAGATTTAGATGTTTGCAGATTTAAGAATGTAGAAATACTTATGAAAGAAACATTAAAACTATTAAAGTTCAACAATCTCAACTATTACCACCCCTACCATGCCAAGCTCTCTAACCTCCAACTTCCTACTTTCGTCCATCCCTTTGGACACCCTCTGCCTTAATCCAGCACCCTTACCCTTGAGCTGCCTCTCCAACGAAAATGCACCCAGTAAATTGGGCTTCTTTTGGGTCTATGCTCTCTGAATCTGCTCCCCCACATAACCTCTCCCTGAACATACAGAGCCCATTAATGCCTCTGTACCCCAAGAATTTCACCAGGTTCTGTCTTTACAACCACCTGCCAGTAATAGAGGCACAACTGAACTACAATAACCATGCAAGCTAGGAAAGAACTTTAGTTATAAAATTCAACTCTGGTCAAGGTTGCTTTTCATACAGAGAATTCAAACACCATAGCAATAAGGTCACAGGACATAAGTGAGCCAAACAGCTCACCTATGGTTTGTTTCATCTTTACTGAAGTCATAAGCCAACTGTGAATGAGTACATATATATGGCAAATCGTTTATCTGAGCCTTTGTGCCTTAGTTGTCAAATTACCAAAATGAACTGAGATTCCCCAAATTTGGTTCCACCTCCAAATAGATAATTCTTATTAAAAAAACAAGTTATGATTTGCCCACACCATATATGTGTGTCTATCTGGAAATAACAATGCTCTAGGTTAGAATTCATTAACCTGTTAATGGTTGCTTAAAAACCTTAAAGGGAATAAACTCTTGAAATTTAAATATAACACTAAAAATCAAGTTATTAAAATAAATAAGATTGCTATGCAAATCAGTGTGTTTTACAGAAAAAATACCACATTAATTTTAATAGTTGACATTTCCTATCATCTGACAGACCAGATAGCTCATTTAAAGCAAAAAGAATCAATAATTTATAGATGAGAAGTAATATTTCTAAATATGAGGAACTCTGGCCCACATGAAGTTATTTTTAAAATTAAAAAGCTTCACTATTCAGAATCCATCAAAGTAACGTCATAAAATGGAGTAATAAACCATTTATAGGCAAGCAAATCAGCATCATTCTGACATGTTAAATTCCATATAATTTTATTTATTTTGTATGTCGAGGATTATAGTCTTCTGAGATTTACTATATTTATATAAACTCAAACTTAGTTATGTAATAACAGAATACATAGGTAAAAACAGGAAAAGAAATTTCATAGACAGTGAGTTTCTACTGTTAAGCAGCAAACATAATTCCCACTGAGCAATAACAAAATGTAAATTAAAATTAAGAAGTTATATTACATTTAATCACAACTTAACCCTTTTTCATATTTAGAACTTATTGTTTTATAGGAAAGTTAAGATTAATCTACTGAAAACAGTTTCATTAGCTACAGGTGTGGTGTCCTCCATTTTTTTCATATCCATGAAATATACACAAAATTGTGGGTCTGGAAGAATTTCTTTGTGCCATTATTTTATTAAGCTTAGTGTAGTGTACCAAGCCATATTATTATTATTCTAAAGGCTTTAATACAAAAAGTTTTAATACATATTATGCTACATACTAAAACAAAGGAAATGGTACTGTTTAACAAGCAGAGAAATATATATCTCCCCAGCCAGATTACAGAAAATTTTCATATTAAAACCAGCACCATCCTTTCTAGTAAAGTAGCAGTTTAAAACAAACAAGGGAATATCACACCTTTATTTATTAGCAGAAACATGTCAATGATAAAGACAGGTAATTCTGGTGATAGAAAGAGGAGGGCTCAAGACTTCCAAAACAAAGAAACCTGGCCAACAATTACCAGTTCATATTTTCAATGTTACCTTTAAAATATGCACAGCACATTTTGAGATGTATACTACCACTTTTTTATTTCAAAATGAATTTATGTAATCTTTTTAAACTGTACATTTTCAAATGGAAGTGGATTATGTCAAATGATGCTAAAAAAAATGCTGTAATTAACCATATTTGAAAGTAGACTAACACATTATATGTTCAAATGTTATGTTCAGAATATAAAGGCCTTTAAATCTGAAAAAAAAATCAAGTTATTATATTTATTAAAAGGATATGTGTAAGAGTTATATGCTAAATGCTATACATTTATAAAAGTATACTAAAATGTGAGTTCATGAAAAAAATAATTAAGCCATTAACATTTCAATAAGAATGAAATATATGAGTTAAGCAGGGAAGTATCTTTCACAAAATGCATACAATTGACATAGATATCATCAAAACAAAAATATCCTTTTGTTTCCAGTACTTTACCAACACTAACAAAAAGTAAAATGTCTACTTGCCTAATAAAACTTTGGCATCATCCACATCAAAATCTCCATCACCATCAGCATCATAGACTCCTAGTTTTCCTACAAGAGAGGAGGCAAGATGGATATGGGGAAAAAGGAAAAGCAAATTAATAAGGTATTACCACTATTGCAGTCTTGTACATCAGTCACAAATGTTAACAATCAATGCAATTCTTTGCACTTTTAATCCTGAAAAGCAAGTGCTAAATGAATATCTTACTTAAAAATGATGAGAAATTCACCTAGAGATTCAGGAAATGTCTGCCTAACAAATCTAAGAAATATAACTGAGATAAATATTTTCCTTAAAGGTTTAACAATACCCTGATTTAATCATTTCAGGATTTTTAAAAATTATACCGATACAAATATTTTAGGTAAAAATTTTAACATACATAAGGAATAATATTGATGCATTTCTAACAATCACATGAAATTTAATGTTTCCAAAGTATGAAAGTTCCACCATCAATATTCAAAACAAAAAGAACCAACACCAAGCCTCAAAAACAAATGAAATATAATTCACATCGAGTACTAAAAGTAAGAGGACAGTTACTTTCATATTTTACTATACTGATTTACAACAGAGACATCATGAATCAACTTTTTAAAAAAGACTTCTGAAAATAAAGTATGTAAAACTGGCTTCCTGAAATCACAAAGGAAAACTTACCATTGTCCTACTTAAAAACTTAATTAGTACTGGCCATCTACTAGTAAGAAAAAAAACAAGACTTAAAACAGATAACCTGAGTAGACAACACTCCAAGAGCCTTTCTTCATCAAGAACAGCAAATATGTATTTTAAGGCTTTAATAAAGCTTTATCATCTAAGGAGCACTGTTATATTTAGCATTTCAAACATGAGTCAAATAGATTCGATTCTTTAAAAAACATCCTGAAATCAACATGATTGATAATTCATCATTGGACAGTGGCTGTGAAGAGACATAATTCTGTACAGCAATATTTTAAACAACATTCACAAATATAGCATGAGCACTAAAAACCCAGTTGGCAGTACTGTTACCATTTCTTTAATAAAAAGTAAATTAAAACATTGCATAAGAGCTGGCAGAACTTTTGGAGTAGAGCGGCTATGGCCAATCTTAAGCCTCCCAGAGCCCTTGTTCTACTTAGGAAATAGTAAACTTACTCTATAAAAGTCTGGTTTAGACAGCACACACACATTAAAAACGACAATAATAAAGGAGAGCTATTGTTTCTATTGCTAAGAAAAGGAAAAGCACTGATCTGCAGCTCGAGGTTATATTATAGCACAGAGCTCAAACATTAGAAACATGAAAAATAACCTTAAAAAGGGAAATTGGTCCTACCACTTATATTCTCTGATGCAGGTGATAACTGAATTAGCAGAATACGGTTGAGATTTTAGAGACTAACACAGTGGACTTAAAATGCATCTCCAATCGCCTACCTTGAAGTACCTCTGATAAGTTATAACGGAAGTCCTTTGCTTTGGCTGCATGCATGCAAAAACACAGAAATTGTTACTTGTGCTCAATGTACAAATACCTGAAATCTCTTCTTTTGTAACAGACTTCCCCTAGCACATGTAAGTCAACAAAAGCACAGATTACCTAGAAGTTTTCTACACACTAAAATACTTTCCGTCAGTCCATCAATTTATCCAGAGACACTAAAGTAATAAAAATGAGAAGCTTCAATGAAAGGCAGATTTCATGTAAGTGTGTTTTGCTATTCTCTGCCTTTTTGCCCCCAGAAAAATGGCTATAATCTAATAAATAAAGCGGTACAATAAAGGGTTGATGGAAGGAAGCGGATTTTCCACACAACACTGTACACACAGAGAAGCGTGATCTTTGTTCGAAGACAGGGTCCATCTCTTTCCCTAAGTGTTTAAAGAGGAAGGCCACTTACTCTCAATAGCCAGAGAGTGGAAACAACCCTACTGTCCATCGCTGATGAATGGAAAAGCAAAATGGTATATCCATACAATGGAATATTATTTAGCCATAAATGGAGTATTAAACCTGGAAAACATCATGCTAAGTGCAAAATGTAGACACAGAAGCCACATACTGTATGATTCCACTTATATGAAGTGTCCAGAGCAGGCAAATCCACAGACACACACAGTGTATTAGGATTTGCCAGGAGAGGAAAGGAGCAGGAAATTGGGTGTTTTGGGGGAAGGGGTGATGGAAATATTCTGGAATTAGAGAATGATGATGACTATAAAAATGATGAATATATTAAAAATCAGTGAACTGGTGATTTACGATACTAAATTTTGTTACATGAATTTCATCTGAAAGTTTTAAAAAAAGACTTCATGAGTTTAAAAAAAAAAAAAAAAGAGTATGACTCCAAAAGCAACAAAGAATCATAAATGCAAACAATCCCGAGAAACTGCAGTGATTACGGGGAAAGGAAAGGAAAAAGGAGGGGAAAGGAAGACAACTATCAGAAATAACACAGTAAATTCCTCAAAACAGCACACTGACCACACACACACACACACACACACACACACACACCAATTCCAACAAAGGCACAGAGGGGTGTGCTTTGAAATGCTCTCTCAGGAAGGTTTTTCTAACTGTATGCTTATGATCCATTAATGGATCCTTAAATAAATTCAGTGGCTCTTACCAGTATTCTTAAAATTTATAATATAACAAAATAGAATAGAAATTATAGAGTACTGCTCGTAATGAGAGTAAGTACTGTTTGATAAAACTTTCCTGTGTGATATATGTACAATAAAAAGCCTTTTTCTTTTTAAAACTATAGATTATGTTCAAAGAAGTTGAAAAGCCTGTCTCCAAGACGACCCTGATAATATCCCTTTTTCTACTGAGAACCACAGAAAGGCTACAGAAATTAAAAGTACGAAAAAGATGCTGATAAATCTTTAAGATTACTAAGGGATGTCATTTATGCTCTTACAAATTCACATAAGAAACGATATAAAAATTCTTACCTAAAACTTCCTCATAATCAACAAGATCAAACCAGACGACAGCGACTGATGTCCAGACTCCCAGCAGTGCAATGACCATAAACCATGTGAAAAATGAGCTTCCGGAAAGCACGCCTTTCCTTCCATTTTTGTGTCCTCCATGCTTTGTGTCTGTTTAAGGAAAAAATGATGTATAATGTCATTATATAAGAAAACACTTTATCTCCCTGGCCAGTGTTGCTCAGTGGTTAGAGCATCAGCCTGTGCACAGAAGGGTCTCAGGTTCGATTCCCAGTCAAGGCCACATACCTGGGTTGTGGGTTTCCCTCCCCGCCCCCCATCGGGGGGTGTGCAGAAGGCAACCAATGAATGTGTCTCTCTCACATCGATGTTTCTCTCTCTCTCTCTTCCCCCCTTCCCTCCCTTCTACACTGTCTCTGAAAAGCAATGGAAAAAAACATCTCTGAGTGAGGATTAATTAAAAAATAAAAGAAAAAGAAAACACGTTAGCAACACCTATTTTCACTGAATTATTTCTCCAGTAATTTGATAGCACTTACAATGCTAAGTCATTTCAAAACTAGTTTTCACTTAAAGTCTCAAAACATGTTACAGAAAATAAAGATTTTGCAAACGAAAGATTCTGCTTAGACTCAACACCACGTATGTAAAGCCCTAACTTCTGAGTAATGAAAGAAACTACTGATGGGCTAATAATTTTTAAAAAATAAAGTTTGATATACGATGTATATTCCTTCTAAGTTCTTTATCCAAACTACCTACGGATTACCTCCTTCAAAGTTCAGAGCATTATCAACAATTTAATGAATTCGTATAGAAATACAGCCAAATCCTTTTCTCTGTCCCATTTAGTTTATGTAGAATCTTTAAAACTATAACTGTCACAGAAAATATCTCCCCCCAAAACTGCTCTATATTCTTAGCCAAAGAAGGAAGGAAACAATTGATGGGAATAGAGGTCGGGGAAGAGGGAAGTAAAACAGTCCAACCTGGCCCTCCTTCGGGGACCCACCGGGACCTTCGGAAACAGGAAGAGGCGCATTCACAACTGCTCTCAATGCAGGAAACAGCTTTGTAAACTACCGTCCCCCAAAAGTGTCATCTGTCACATCTGACATGTTTAATATACCTTTTATCCTTCTGGAAATACTATTCTTACTTCCAAAAATAAAAAACGATGACAGTCAAGCGATACTAACAGAAAATGGTCAACACTGTCCTTAAAAGGGAAGACCACAATATTCAAGTTTCTCTTTAAAAAGAATATAATAAATGTTACGTAAATATTAATGATTAATTAAAAGGATAGGTCATATCCTAAAATGCTGTGACAAAAGGGAAAGTTTATCACCCAGGTAGAAAGTAGGACACCATCTTCTACTTGTGAGCGTGTGTCAGCTCTTCAAAGTGCTTCCACGTGCACGGCTGCATGGGATTCCCACCATGGGCTTGTCGGTGTCTCTCTAGAGGGCACTCCTGGATGTTTATACAGGACAGTTCTTCATCCTGTAGGACTGTTTCCCATGTCAGCAAAGCAGCTGACATCCCTACTGTCTGCTGGTTCCAAAGGTAAGTAGTTCCCAGTGAGTATGACAAAAACACACCCAAACAATACCAACTACCGCCACCCCCAGCACAGAAATCTCTGTTTTACAGAGAAAAGATTAAATAATTCACCCAAAGTCAGCTACACAAGTTAGGTTGAGCTAGGAATAGACCCTGAATTCATTGGTCCTGAGTTCCTTGATCCATGCATGAGTGAGCCAAGTTACATTTCCAAAAACCCGACAAGCTCTCATCATCTAGAACCTGCTTTCTGACACTTCAATCCAGTTCTCATTACAAAATACTGGCAGTAATTTTCCAACGGCTCACATCAAGAATCTACTGCCAATTCTCTTGAATGAAAAAGAAACTGAAATTCTCCCTGTTTAAAAGATATACACATTTTTTTAACCCAACCATTATATCAACTTTTCAAAAGGTGCTATGAAAACCAAATCAATCTGAAAGTATATGTATGTGTATGTGTGTGTGTATACACTCAAACATATACACCTTTATCTATACATCTATATTTAAGTATTTAAAATTATGACCAAATAAGACAAATTGTATTCTTAAAGAAAAAGTCAATTTCCTTTTCTAATGTTCTTGAAATATTTACAGACCCATCAAAAAGGGCCAGGTTTATAAATAATCCTATGGTGAATTCACAAAAGTATACTTACCAAAAAAATATGGTCATCTAATTTCTTTCTAACATGAACTATTAAAAGCCTCCTAAAAGCTGCTTATATAAAAAACATAATTTATACATTACAAAATACTTGCTGGGCACTGCTCACAAAGTTGCATATTAAATCCACTTAAAACAGACTTTACTGTTTCATTACCTGAACTTTGCCATGGGAGTGGGGGAGACTAGGTGACAATTTCTGCAATGGTGGAGAGGGGAAATGATGATTTTTGTTATCTTTATGTGTCTTAAGCATAGAAATTGTAAGGACAATATAAAATAAAGCACCACTAAATGTTTAAAAAAGGAAAAGTGAGTAGCTTCTGGGGGCAGAGGAGCACCACAGATACGGCAGCAGTGTTGTGTGTTTAATTTATTAAACATCTGTACACATGAAGACTTTTTAATACTGTATAAAAAACCACTGCTTCTATATAACATATACATATATGAATACATGCCCATTTGTATAGAATACTTACTGTAATAAGAATAATGCCTTCCGGAATATTCATTTACTCCTAAATATGGAACTACAATAGACTGTAATAGAATTAGGATGACTAAGAGTGTTTCTCCCTTGACGACTAATTGCCTCTAAGAATCGAATTTAAATTTTCTATTTAAAAAACGAGTGCTAAAACTGCAGGAAAATCGGGTTCTTGTCTTATTTCCTCTTGAACATTTTGTAATGCACACCAGTGTCTTGTATTGTTACTAATTAACGAGAAAACAACAAGGCTAAGTAAATATAGTTCATCCTTTTACTCATTCATTTAACATATTTATTCAGCATATGGGTGAGACATGATACGATTTTTTCTCAATTTTCAAAATGTGTATCTCGATAAAAGTACATTCAATATAATGCTATTTACAGAGGGGAGGGAAGTAGGGGGATGGGTGAAAAAGGTGAAGAGAAATAAGAGGTACAAACTTCCAGTTATAAAATGAGGGTAAGTCACAGGGATGTAATGTACAGCAAGACGAATATAGTCAATAGTATAACTTTGTACAGTGACAGATGGTTAGTAGATTCAGTGTGGTGATCACTTTGTAAGTTATATAAATGTTCAGTAACTATGTCATACTCCTGAAATTCAGATAGCATTGTATGTCTACTATAATAAAAAAATTAATAAACAAAATTTTTGAAAAAAGATAGTAAGCAACCCTCAAAAAGAAAAGATATTATTTAAAATAAGCTTATAATGAAATAGCCAATAAAACAAAATAATAATTTGATTTCAAAGTTCAATTATTTCTCCATTTCTACCTCTTTCTTGAGACAGAAATGGAGGAGTTTCTGAGATTCTCAAAAGGAAAGTATCACTTATCTAAGTTGATTCAGTAATACTCATCGAAGTGTTTCACCTGCAACACCAAACATAAGTAAAAAGTGGAAAAAGGTTTTTAAAAGTAATTATATAAATGCAGGCACCAAAGCAGAGAGAAGGCACTGGGAGGGGGTGGAAGGAGAAAGCCAAACACCTTTAAGAACAAGTCCTTACCTGAAGCCTGTTTACATTTGTTTTAAACATGATCCTAACAACTTCAATCCGGTGTCCTAACTCACAGCACAAAACTAAAGAAGTTTTTAAAGACAACCTAACCCAAATGAGTTAAAGCAGCAAAGTTCCACGGATGGAAGGCCCATAAAAGGCATCCAGTGGACTGGGAGCTTGAAGGAACTGTGGCAGCCAGCCATTTATGACTGATTGATGCCTGTAGGCAAACCTTGAACAGTCTTAAAATAATCTTTGGTACAAGGTAATAATGACCTTCATATTGATTTTGTCATTAAAAATCTGTAACCTGTTTAAGAATGCAAGAAATGCATAATAAATCTTAGGTTTTAATTCAATATATTTTTTTATTAAACATGTTTATCACTTTAAAAGATTTAATGTTGTTCATAATCTGAAATTATTAGCAATATTTTGTCTATCCCTTTATAATGTCAAATTGACGTTTTACTCTATTATTACTAATCTTATTCCTGTTAATATTAATTCCATAAAGAAACAAAATAGTACATTATGAAAAGGAATCTTTCCCCAGACATCTTTTTAAAGGGTCTTTTAACTGATACCAAATAATGCTCTCTTGATACGTCACTCTGTAAATATGGTGTGCACAGTCCCCAGGGGCAGATCAGTTTCTTCCCAATTAAACTGAAAAAAAGCATAGTAAGACAAACCCTTCAAGAGGGTTTAAAACTACCTAAGCAAACCTGAAACCAGGCTTTGGTCCAAAGGTATTCTGAAGAACATTGAGTAGCTGTCCCTATTTTCTAAAACCAGAATAAATCTAAAGGTCTTCATTTCATTTTCTGGCTCCATGTTCAACCTGTGGTCCCAGGGATTAGTCAAAAAGGTTTTTTTAATGGGGTTTAAGAATATGGTAAGGACTATGCAATTCATTTTTTTCCATGTTGACTCATCAAAAAACTACATGACCTCCAAATCAGAAAATATTCTCACGCACTACCAAACACAGAAAATTACCACAGGAAGCAATGAAATGTGTCTCTCTCCGAAACGAAGAGTGGGTTAGGGACAACAGGTAATTTTATTTATTTGGTTGAGGAAAGGAAAATAGAAGATGTACCCCAGTACCTGAACAGTAGTCAATTACTTGATGTGGACAACTACTAACTGAATTACAAATCAACCATGTGCAAGTTTACTAGCATTATGCAAGCAATTTCATGTTTCATAAACTCTACACATTTAAAGTTTAACAAAAAACAACACAAAAACTGTCAAGCAACTCATCAAACTGATCATTTTTCTACATTACAAAATGTCACCCTTTGGGAGCCAAGAACTGCTAAATAAGTGGGTCAGAAGTGGAGAAGAGGGAAGTGTCCCTGAAAGAACTAAATGTCAGACATCTCTCTGATATTCTTCATGGCTACATGAGGCACTTTATTAGAATAGTCAAGTGACCCATTCTTACCATTTATCCAAAACGGTGCTCAAAGTAGAGATACTCATATTCTCTATACTAATAATAGAATCCTTCCAATGGCTGCTTGGGCAGCTGGGAGTTGGAAGCAGTCTTAATATATCTATTTTTTCATAAGTAAGTTTTCAACAAATGAATCAACGTAGCTTGCTTTCAACTAAATGGGAAGAGACCCTTACAATGTAAAGCAAAAACAAACATATACAAAAATGTAAATTCAACATATCATTAAAGGACACTTGAAGATTAATGATTTAATTTTTAAAAACAAAATAAAACCCTAGTGTCTTTTCTTTGCATTTATCCTCTGCTTCACAAAAATTAGGTCAGTTTCCACATATGCTAAGACAGCCTGAGCCAACTAAATGTGCTCATTAGTACAAAATGAGATGTATAGATGCCTTAAATCTCCTATAATTTTATATGAGTTATTACACACAATTCTTCAAATTCACTGTAATTAACTCTTAAAACTAAGAAAAACTGCCTGTACATTTTTCAGAAGTTCATAAATGTGGTCTCTGGTAGTACAATATACTAAAAGATATTCTAAACTAAGATGCCAAAACATACCGGATTAAAGACAGATTATTCCATAAAAAAAATAAATAACTACTGTGAAAAGTCCAGGAGTTCAAAATAGAAAATGTAGAAGATGCAGTTAAAAGCCCTTAGCCAAAAATATTTTAATAACACACAACTGACAATCAAGCTAAAAATTGTCAGTGGGATCCAAAACCACTTTTAACCCAAACAATAAAAATATACCTTTACCTTCATCCATTTTGACTTCTTCAGTCCATGAGTAACATACAGTGAAGAGAAAACTCAAAGCTCCACCAGCAGGTAGCAGGCAGGCCGCACGCCCTTCCCCACGAAAGCTCTAGAGAGCCAGACTCGGCCGGCAGGCCAGGCCTCTAGAACTGAAATTGGACCTGCCTGCAAACTGCTCACCAGTTATTTTTAGAGGCCTCTTCCTCATGGCCAAATACTGCTAACCACTCAGGCTGAAATGCACTCCTAATAATCCCACAGCCTTTCTCCCACTTACGGATTCCTTTCTCAGTTGGTCCTGTCTCCCTACTCCAATCCCTAAAAAAAAATCAAGCATGCTAGATGCAATGAAACAGAACAGACTGTGCTGCCAGTTTTGCTTTCTTGGCCTCAGTCTTCAATAGTTTTAGCCTAAGTACCAAATCATTCAAAACTGAAACAAGTCTTGCTATAAAATGTGGCCCCAAGCCCAGAAACTGCTTGATTTGGCCCTTCAGAATCTAATCAAATGCCTCCAGGAAAAGACCATTAGTGTGTTTGAATGAAACAGAACCCTGAATGGAAAGAAATTAACGACTGCTCTAGAATTCTGATTCACAGGCATTTCCATCCCAAGGCTAATTCCTCCAACAGCAAAAGTAAAGCAACAATAAAAAATTGTTGCAGTGGAAAAGGAAGGAGCTCTGCTGGGAAGGAAGGCATGCAGAAGGGGAAGGGAGGGGAAGGGAAAGAGGCGGGGAAAGGGATAGGAAGGCAGGGCTGGAGGGGACAGGGAAGGAAGGGACTCTTCAGCAGGAAGAGTGATCTAGGAAACCATCTCAGAGAAGGACCTAGAAAGACACTGATAGCTGCACTCTGATTTTGTTCTACTTTCCTCCAACCCCATTCTCCAAATATTCTCTTCTGGGAAATAAAATCAGCCCAATTTTAGTACCATTTATTCACTGATTTAAGATGAGCAGATCACAGAATTCATCAGAGTTCTGATTAGTATACTAAATTAAGTATACTAAATTCAGCACAAATAGTATCCAGAGCAAGGCAGTAACCTTTCAAAGTTGTCTGAGTCTTTAATTTTGTCAGTCAAATTGAATGGTTCACACACAAATTAAACATTTATAGGTTTTGAAGAGACATTTAGACGTTCTGAAGAGGAGTCGGCAACCTCTGGCACCAGAATTTGTAGGCCCAGAGCTGGGACCGAATGAACACGGCCTCAGGGCCAATTACACAAAACTGACCAGTGTCTTAGCTGTCCTCCCCCACCATTCCTTTCCTCAAAATCTGTCCCACTAAAAGTGAGTGCTTGCTAAAATGTTGAAAGATAATCATTTTTGTTTAAGATGACCCACCGTCATACAAATTCGTTAGACAAATATTTCAGAAGCTTTCTTTTGTTCTGTTGTTTCCAGAGAGTGAATGAGGGTGACAAGAGACGCTCCCTTGGCACCCCTGGAAACCAAGCTACTACACTCACATGGCGGGTGGCCCATTTCAGACCCAGATTCAATTCCCAGCTTCTTCATTAACTTTGATTTGGGCAAAGTCATCAAACTTTTGGGCCTCAATTTCCTTGCCTATAAAACATGCCTTGGCACAAACTAGGCATGCAAATATTTGTTGAAGTCACCCATGCAACACACTTGTGTTGACTGATCAGGACTAGAGCACAGGTCTCCTAACCTCCCATTCGCAGCTCTTTTCATGAGCGTAGCCTGCCACCAAGACTGCCGGAGCTGCTAGGGTTTCTCCTCTCCCTTTACAGGCCTGTGTGAGGCCAGCTGCATTCTAAATTACAGCTCTGTGGCCAAATGCTGACCGGAGACAAGAATCACAGCTATTAAATTTGGATATACCTCACCCCTGAGTCTTCTTTAACACAGCTCTGATTACTCCTCCCCAAGAAATCTTTGTCACACATCCTATAGTTAACCTTTTCCTTAGTCTTGTGCAACAGTTTTACAGTTATTTCAATAAGATATCTTCACCCCTCAGTTTCACAGTAACAGTATACCTATTATTCTAGATAGGGTGATTAGAATGTCTGTGAAATAACATTTAACATCACAACATTTCCTAAGGGAAAAGAAATTCTGAATTCTAAGTAACTATCTCTTATAAGAAACCCAGTGGTTCCCAAGCACTGGTTATGAACCCAAATCTATCCAGGACCAAGTTTTCACTGCTCTGCGTCACATGAAGTCCTCCCTGATCAATCTTGGGTGACTGACACGCAGGCTGAACACTAGGACCAAGCAGGAAGGATGTGGTAGCCCCATAGGGCTAACTGGATAGCTAGACACCCAGCATTGCTCTCTTGACTGCTCTCTTTTAGGGAGTTCCACAGAGAGAAAGAGAGAAAGGCAGATACACAAAGAAAACAAAGAGCTAAGTTATTAAATCCAAGGAAAGAGTACAAGTGAGTCTTTCAACATACAATTTTTTTGCTGTTACATACGTATGAAAGTTTCAAAATGAAAAATTGGAAAAATATAAAAATAAAAACAAAATTCATCTGGCTTTTAAAAAAAAGATAACAGAAGTCAAGAATCAAGTCCTAAACCCAGCAAAAATGAAAAGAACACCAACTCAGTCACTGGTCTCAAACTTATTAAAAACCAAGTGGAGAACTGTCTCTACTTGATGTCTCCTTCATGCAAGTCATGCAAGTTGTGCTCACATATTTCCATCTGCTTGCTGGACCCTCCCCATGGCATGCCCTGACTTTCACCTCAAATTGATGTGGGAAGATAAACCTAATTCCTCTACCACCTGGAAGCCACTCCAACACTTGGAGAAGGTAATGTCCCCTCGGAGGCCAGCCATCCCCAGGGTTTTCGCGACTCCTCATGTTACGGTTAACAGGCCCTTAACAAAAGGCCTCATCCTAAAGCTCATTCACGCTGAGCAGCCTCCACCTGTCGCCCTCACACACAGCCCCACGCCTGAGACCACAGTTCCAGAAGCTGCCCGACCAGCACAGGGAGGGATTTCCACCTCCCTCACTCTGGTCACGAATAGCACTAACACTGAAGAAGATTCTTAGTCAGCCATGTCATGCAGGCAACTCCCTCTCAGACCACAAGCAATTAAAAAAACCAAACCAAAAAAATACTAGGCCTTCTGAAAATATATCTACTACTTCAAGCCTCTCCCAGCTCAACCTCAACAGCTGAGTGCCTTTTGCAAAGCGCTAACCCTGATAACGTCCACCTTCCCACTCATCTGCATGGTGGGTCCTTCCTTCCTGGCACTGCCTACTTTTCCCTCAGGTCTTTGTGCCACACACAAATTTAATAACCATAAACTGGACAGGTCTCTCCTGCAGTCAACCTCAAACCATTACATCAGCACTCTGTGGGTACAGGTGGGCATTCAACTGTGACTCAAACCAGGTCACATGGCCAATGCTATGCCATCATAGGCACCGGAGGATTTTCCGAGATGGTTTCTAAATACCTTAAAGTAGGGAAAAGTGACACAGTTGGATCCTGATCGCTTAGTCTAGAAAGTTTCTCTAAACACATCATTAGTTTTTGTTTTTGCTTTTTAAATAAACCTGCATTTATTAAACCTCCTATTCATGGCTTTCTTTTCTAAGTACTTAAAAATAACTTTTAATTCTAGAATTTGCCTAGTATTATAATGAGGCATTGGTTTACAGTTAGCCTGAGTCTGCATGTCTTTCCTTTGATAAAAATGGGCCATTTGTCCCTCGAGTATCTTTGCCACCTCTTCTAAATTTCATGCTTCCCCAAAGATTAACCTCTGGAAAGCTTTCGCTGGGGTTGTAGCTTTGAGAGGCTCGGAAAGCCTCAGCTCCTCCTCAGTTAGTCTCTGCCTCTCTCCTTGATCCTACACACCTCACAAACACTTACTGCTCAGAGGCTGGTGCTAGACCTGAGTGCCGTCTTCCCTCCCCACTGGGCACGGGGCCTGGAACACAGTAAGCCCTCATTAACCTGACCGGACAGTTGCATGGTGCTATGCAAATGTCTAAATTGTACATATAAATTTTGGGGGGCCCACCTAAATGGCAAAGCAAATCTAACATGCATGAAGCATTTTAGAAACAAAACAAAACCACACAGTAGTGGAGGTGGGGCTGGTTCTGGGTGAGGGACAGGAATGGCCAGGAGAGGTACAGGTAGAACCTCATCAGCTTCATTAACTCATCCCACACCCCTATTCTGTTCTTTTCCTCCCAATCCCATCTCAGTTCAAAATCAAAGTTATGGTCATTGTCACCACACATTCAGAGATGTCCCCTAACCTTATCTCACTGACTCATTTTGCTCCAAACAGGCTCCACACCCCTCCCTCAGCTCCAGCCTCAGCAAATGCACCCCTTTTTCCCCCGGAAGAGGTGGCCCAGAATAAGTCATCAAGCACCCCACTGTCCTGCGCTGACAGTTTCAAAGGCTGGTCTCTGGGCTATGTTCTGGAATAACCTAGTCTGCTGATGAGGTTCTTAGAAGCATGCCCCCAAAAGATCTGACTTGCTGAAAAAGCTGAAGTTGCACAGCTTTATGCAAGTTACAGAGAAGCCCAAATTCAGGAGGCAAGCACAGGTGTGTGTTACAGGCCCTGTCCTCACCGGGCGGGGCCTCTCCCCTACCTGTGGTTAAACATTTTTAATACCATCGTGGATAAAAGTATTGCCTTAAACAGAACACTTCTAGTCAACATATAAGTCAGATCAGCAAAACAAAGTGCTTTCAGCTCTATAAGCTAGTAATGAAAATCACAAGGTGGTAAATTTTAAATGGCTTTCCATTTTTTTCTGCATACATGAATATTCATTCATTCAACAAACAATCTTGAAATCCCTCCCCAAGAATGAACAAGGGAGACCACGTACTTAACAGCCTGGTGGGGGAGAAAAATCATATTGAAATTAAATTAATTAAAATAAAATAAAGTTTCACTTTGGCTATGTTAGGGTAAAGGGTGTCTAGGACTATATGAATGAAAATAATCACTGGGAAAGAATCATAACCTTGTATTTTAAAGATATAGCATTCTAAGGCATAATCTGCTCCAAACTCTTCTTTATAAATGTTAAGCGCTGTTCACAGTTTTATATTTTTCAATCAACATTAGCAAATCTTAGTCATAAGTCAAAAAGGAAATACTCATCATTCTTACAAAGGAATTGTAGAGCCAGAACCAAAAAAAGGAAGAAAAATTTAGCAGTGTTACAGTATTTACACAGACAAACTTGGCCTATCTTTGAGTCATATTTAAAAAGAGGAAAATCAGTCTCGCAAAGAAGCAGAACTTTTCCAATTTCACAA